CAGACCCTCCATAATCATTCGAGCGCTGAGCATACCCATGCTGAGCGGGTGGCCTTTCTTTTAGTTTGGCTTTGTAAATATGTTTTATGTGTGCCAAGTATAAAGCCTTCTCTGAGTTATTTACCTATAGTGCACGAATTGGCGCGTGGCAGGCCTTTGAATTTATGTTCTTTGTTTTTGGCTGCCCTTTATAGAGGTATGGCTTTTCTTCAAGCTCAATTGAAGAATGGTGCATCTCCCACTGGCAGTGGACATCTTTGGTTCACTCAACTGTGGTTGATATCCTATTTTCCATCGCTTGGTGCTCCATCCATTTCTCGTCCTTCTGCTAGTTGTTACGGGCTAGCTATGGAGTCCTTAACTCCTGTAAATATGTCCAGAAGGGACATTTTTTCATTCTTTTATTCTTTAGATTCAATTTCTTCCTTCTTTCCTTTTCCTCTTTTTTTGACTCCAAACTATGTACATCCCCCTTCCACTATAGATAGCGCGAGCACCTCCCTGCTCATTTGGATCCAGTTTTTAACTGGGAGGGAGCTTTTTCATGATATCTTAACTGGGACCAATGCCAAAGCGGGGGTAGAAATTTATGCTCCCCAATTTTTTGCTCGTCAGCTTGGTTTTGGCCAAACTTGGCCTGTTCCTCTTTGCTATTCGAAGAGCTTAATTGACCGTTTTCATACCATTAATAAGGCGGAAGCAGAGGCTATAAACGCTCGCAACCTCCATTTATCAAGCCACTTTTCATTAGCCCCTTTTAATTCTTGTCATGCTACTCATCCTCTTTTTGAACAACTCTGGCCATCAGTGAAGCGCAGATTATTTGCGACTGAGGCCAATCGTGCCTTTCATTCATTAGACCAACCGAGTATTTCTTCTCCTCCTCCTGTTTTGGTCACTCCTTTGTCTATTCGGAGCCCCTCTCGTTCTCGTCGTACTAAACAATCTGCTCGTTCATCTTCTTCTCTCCCCGCCAGGCCTACTACGGCCAAGAGTGCTCCAAGCCGCAAACGGCCAGCCTCAGCATCTCCCATTCTGGAGGATGATGTTGATGATGATGATGATGATGCCCCTCTTATCGTCAGGAGGAAGGTAATTAAATCGGCCTATTTACAAGTATGTTTTTCCCCATTTGATACTTTTCTGTGTACTGATGATCTTTTGGACTTTTCAGAAAAGTTCAGCCTCCCCTTTAAAGGCTTTGGCATCGACAACTCCTGCTCCATCATCCTCTGCTGAGGCTACTTCATCCAAACCGGTTGGTGATGGGACCATGCTTAAAAATACATCTTTAGTCCCAAAGTCTTCATCACAACCCATGGATGAGCCATCTTCTTCCCAGGGTGTCGACCCCCCAATCATCGAAGCAAAAGGTAATTCAGTTTTTGATGTCTTACCTTTGCTCATGCTATTAGTTTCTGATTTGTTGCTCTTGAACTTTACAGATACTCCTATGAGTCCGCCCATTGTGGCAACATCGTCTCGCTCGGACAAGGGGAAGTCCTCACGAATGGATGAGTCGCTGGTGGCAAGCTTGGCCGAGGGCGCGCCATCTTCTACGATTGTCGACGAGGTAGTTTTTCTTTTTGCTTCATTTCTATTTCCACCTTGTTCGTTGTAGTGAGGATTTTTAATATTGGCAACCTTCTTTGCAGGATGCTGACAGGATTGTGCGTTCTATCCAGGATTTGTTCGCTTCCTGGGGGCAGGTCCAAATGCCTCGCCCTGCTCCATCTGATTGTCCTGCTGCTTCTTCAGAAGATGATTTGAAGTTCTTGAAGGAGTTGGTATTTGAGTACGTATCCTTCATGGATATGGACATTGGAAGGGCTAGTGCTGCCAGACACAAGGATGAACTAGAGCACTTGAGTGCGAAGTTAGAGCAAGCACTGACGCTTCCGTCGCTCA